ACGCGCGCGCGGCGCGCGGCCAGAGCGGAGAAGAGGGAGAGAGAGAGCGAGAGAGAGAGAGAGATAGCCGGGGAGGGAGGGGAAGATGGGCCGAGAGAGATTCGGCCCATCGAACCCGAGGGAGGCAAAATAGACTTTTGCGGAGGGATCGATTTGGGAAGGGTTGGATTCGGGATTGAACTCGACGATAGATCGGGGATTTGAGATCTGAGATGGCACGGACACTAGACAACAAGCAAAGAAACAGATTTCGCAAATAGGGTTTTTAAGAGATAGCTTTCCCGCTAGGCGCCACGACGGAACGGGCGCTACACGACGGCCGGATCCCCAACGCACCCGCCAGCGATGAGAAGGAGGCGGCGGCTAGGAGCAGCGCAGCCGGCCCCGCGCACACGCGGGCGCGCCGAACGCTGCTGGATTCCTACGGTTTTGATTTTTTTTTTCTGCACAAAAATATAATTTTCGTGTGTGGGAGCGTCACCTATATTAAAAAATCGGATTTTCGCCGTCGTAAAAATAGGTTTCCGCCTGCACATAAAAAAATCGGATTTTGGCCGATGTGAAAATAGGTTTCCGTCCGTACGGAAAAATTGTTTTTCACTAGTGCCGGCCTCGATCACGGCGCGGCAGATGATGGCCAGCGAGGAGTTTAGCCGACGGGAGCATTTGCGTGCGGTTGATCGCGATGCGGTCGATGCGACGCGATGGCCGTAGGAATCACAGTATATAATCCGCAACTTGCCAACAAATAATTGGACCGAACGATTGGGATGGAGCCTAACGTTTCAACTCTGAGTTTGGAGCCTTCGGAGAGTGCATGCCCGCGTGAGCGGCCGGAGGCATGGGGGACATGGCCGTACCCGTACGTTCGAAATTGAAAGGCAAGATGAGATGGATGTGCTGCGTCGTGGCTCTTGGGCTGGGGTTGTTGTTGGTGTCAAATCCTGGCAACCCACACAAACGGCAATTGCAACAACCCTCCCCGCGCCAAGGTGATCGCTGCCTCGTTCTGTGGTACAAATGGCGGAGAAGAACAACCGATGGAAACAAGAACTCAGGAAGAGAGATGGGAATTACATTTGAGATTTGCTCATATCCAGCAAAAAGTATCTTGAGATACCGGTATCTCACGGTATCAAATCGTTTCTTCAAGATTTTGATAAAGGTGGGGTTTTATCAAACATATAGACCATAAAACCTGGTTATGTACCACATGTCATAATATATATGGTTATGTGTAACTTTGACCATAAAACATGGAGTTTTCTAAAATTTACTCATGATTGTATTGAGCCTCCGAAACGGTGTATATAATGGGGTCTATATATAGATAAGGAAGACTATTTTACAAATCAATCATATCCTAATAACTCTTTAACTATCATATTCTCTAACATCTTCTGTAGTTCAAGTATGAGCAGCGCGGATGCTTAGACTGGAGAATACAATGACAAGAGAACCCAACAATGATAACCCTTTATGCCATTATCAAGGTAGCCGAAGCATCAAACGCGATGTAGTCATGGTTGAGGCATCCGGGTATATAGTAGCAGTGGTCAATCATTTTTCATGTGTTCTCTCTCAATCCCGCCAACCTATAGAGTATCATACTCCCTCTTTCCAAAAGTCTAAGTCCTATTTGTAATCACTAAGTGCAAAATTAAATTTTGATCAAAACTCTAGAAGCCATTTTATAACTTATTGGTTGCATGTTTATCGGTTTTGTCATATTGTAAATGAATTAATTACTCATTGGTCTTGATACCACAAGAAATATGTCTTAGACTTTTGAATAGAGGGAGTACTATTAGGGATCTCTTAAAGTGTCCTAGCTTTCTGTGGTGTTTGAAACTACCGAAGACAGTTAGTGCACGTAAAACAAAAAAAACTATTAGTATATGATTAATTAAGTTTTAATTATTACAAAATTGACAAATGAGTATATTTGATATTTTAAATCAACTTATATATAAAAAGTTTTTTACAGGACACATCATTTATTAGTTTAAATAATGTGCTAACGAAAATTGAGGTAAAATCCGAATCTTGATCACTAAAGAACAGGGATAATCTTGATCATTTATTTTGGTCGTTGGGTTTCTCTATTTTTAATCTCCTGGCCGACTTGCATCCTGGGGCGCCTTCCTCCCGCCTTAGTTTGAAGACGATGAAGTAGCCGCCGTGACCCGTGACAAATGCATCTGAGAAAAATACTAATTAAGTACAGTTAGGTAGCTCTGACTAGTAACTTTTGGGATCATGTAATCCCCATTAGGTAGTTAAGTGCAGTTTCAAACCATATGCTTGCTTGCGGCTGGTTGATTGTGGTGATGATCCCATCTGATCTCGTTTAGTTAGCAGTGGATAGACAAACGAAAAAATAAAGTTGGAGCATAATGACTTGCAATTGGATAATGAAAGCGTTCTACCACTCGGATAAAACGATGACGGTTTGCCTGTATCTACATAACTACCCGGCAGCGGCCAATCGTCCTCTCCTCGTGGTGGCGGCGGCCCCCATCTCCGGTGGCGATGGTGGCCCCTTGCCCTATCCCCGCTTCCGTTATTGGGCTCAAGCGCAGGTAGCGGCGGTGGGAACGCCAGTGCCGCCACCATTCGGTCGCCATGAGTGTGTCTCCCTCCTAATCTCCCTAAGCGGTAGAGGCCATATATAGTGGGCCTACCAGGAGATTGGGCCGGGCCATCAGATTTGAGCGCCTGTAGGTCCCCATTGGCTTCCGAAGCAGTGCTGGCTGAGGTAGTTCCATGGCAACCAGTGACAGTGGCGGCAGCAGTCTTCTTTTGGCCAACTTTTCCTCTTTGATTTTCCACTTCTAGTGATTGAATATGTGATGAATGTTTTATGAGATTTGATTCTATGATTGAATCTGTGATGATCGGCTACCAAGCCATACCAACTAGCTTGAATTGAGCTGAGCCGCTTCTTTTTATTTTCTAAATAACCGTGCTAACGCATCAGTGCTGATTCTCGATCAGGAACTCATGATCCAACCCTCATAAGTGCGGCAACTGTTGTGCCGGTTCCAAAATTGGCACTGATAGCTGTTTGGAACCAACACTGATCAGAGGATCTATGGAAGTGTATATTCCATGTACCTTTACACTGAACCTACATAAGAAAAATTAACTGAATAAGCAGTTCAATGAGCAGAATGCCACTTTACACTGTGGACCCGGTTGCGTAGGATATCCCAGTTCCACATCATCCATCATTTCCATGCGCTCAAACTAAAGCAAGACCTTCGAGTGATATCTCCTTTTCTCAATCCCTTATCACTCACCATGATCATCTCACAGCTTCATCTTGGCGTCAAAGACGAATAAAACATATTCCGGAAACAAGTTTTCACTTTAGTCCAAAACAATAATTGATATTACCAAGTATTCATCACACATATCACTCATGATTTATTTTTTTTCATGAGCAATTTTAGTCAATACAATCACAACATGGACAAACACATGTACAATCCTCGCTACATAACATCCAAATCAAATGACATACATGAACGATGCCAATTTTGCATCACATTTCATTGCCCGTACACACAAGGGCTCATAAATATACACAAAATAATTCATGGTAGAGAAATGATCAACATCAGTCTATGCCTCATTAATTTTCTTTAGTTTGGTATATGTGTTCCCCCTTTTGGCAAACGACGGTTTTGATCTCGCCCCCAGTGTTGAGTTTTTTGGCATGCGACTCCCTGTTGCACCGGTTGGCTGCATAGATGAGAAAATCCGTCCATAAGTCAATGCAATACCCTTCACTTGGATCTTGCATTCCTTCAATTTGATCTTCACCCTTCCAACCTAACACTGTCTTAGCGATCCCATGTGCATATGTGAGGCGAGGAACTGAAGGATCGAATTTGCCTGATACCTTCATCCCAAGTAGGATTTTGGCAAGTTCGTTGGTCTGCTCAAGCCCATAAGATGTTGTGCTATTGTTATTGTTGCCCCGGATCAACTTCATGAGAACCATGAACACAATGTTGTAAGCCCTGCCACCGGAAGAAATGAGTTGCACACGATTCTCTTTGCATATTTTGTCGAGGTTATCGCAGGTTCGTTGGTACAACCAGTTCTGGGGAAGGCCAGGAACCATGTCAGGGCGAGTCACAAGGAGGAACATGAGGTAATTTGACATTGCCCTGATTGAACGGACACGTTCAACTTCTTTCTTTTTTGTTGAGTCGTTACTGGACCTGTTTCTCCCACAGAGGATGAGATCGGTGGCGATGTGCCAAATGATGATGCTCTCGTGGAAGTCAACACCCTCCCATTCCTCCAGATCTCCTACCAGCTTAGGATACTTCTTTTTATCTAGTGCCAGCTCGCCCCACCTATGCCTGAGCAAGCCCAGGGTGTTGATAGCACGCTTCGAGACCATTTTCACTGCCCGTTCCTTTACCGTATTGGGAATCTTGATACTGTGTGAGTAACAAGTGCTGTCCCACCAATCCTCACACCCCAGCTTCTTAGCTAGCGTGCCGAACCGTCGGTTCGTTGCATGGATCTGTGCAGCACGGAAGTAGAGCATGTTGAACTGACCTATGGTGCCTGACCACTTCCTTGATCTTCCTAGGAAACCTCCGGTCATTGCCATGACAACCTGGCGAAGGGTCACGACTGCTCGGCGGAGCCGGTGCCATCTTCCAGCACATAAAACTGCATGCCGAAGTGAGCTCCATGGAATGGCACACAGGAAAGCAAGAGCCCAACTCGACCCTAGTGCGCTCAGCAGGGATGTCATCTCCATCATGAGGGCACCACCCAACAAGATATAAGTGACAGTGATGTCAACCACATTCTGGCCATCTTTGCTATCACTAAAATGGAACAGAAGGAAGGACGAGACGATGGCAACCGGTGTCATGGCTCGGATTAAGTAGCCAATCCATGTGTGGATCACGGCTGCTTTGGTGTAGAGAATATCATACAACAGGGACAACTCCATCTCCATCACCTTCCACATGACCATGGGCTGTTGTGGATTCCTGATCTGGTTGATTAATTTTCTTGTGATTTCAGCCTCGGTTTTATCCATATCCACATTGATCACCGAGTCTACTATCCCACGCTTGCAGATGTGGAATAGGGAGTGGGCGCGCTGCAGAAGGAATTCATCATTGGAGTTGTAATGATCCTCACTCTGCAAGTAACCTCTGTACCAACGGAGTTGCTTACCCGGTAGCTCCTTGACATAGCTCCGGATGCTGCTGAAGTCGCCGCGCTTCAGTGCAAAAGTCCTCTCACAATACTTGACGAGGCCAACCATGAACATCAAGACAGTGGCCAGCAGGAGAATCGTCTTCTCTCCACCAACAATAAGACGCTTGTAGACGACATACCCGGCTCCAAGAACTTGGACGACAAGAATCTGCAGGTGGCGCAACCAGAGCTGGTTGTCCTGCAGCGCATAGGCGGTGATGTTGTCTGGCCTGCCAAGGTGGAGAAGCAAGAATGGCGCCCAGAATGCCACCAGCTTGTGGTCACGTGTCACGCTGCTCAGGGAGAGGTGCCCGAGGGTGTATATCGCGGTGGAGTCAGCCAGCAGGTACGCCAACCAGAGGAAGAACCTCAGCAAGGCAGATGACTCACGCCGGCGGATCCCAGCGAAGAGGAGGAGGACGATCTGCAGTGTGAGGCTCAATAGAACTAGGATCTGTGTTGCCCACGCATTCCACAGCTTCAAGGGCCCTCCTGCCATTGTTGCGTAGAAGTAATTTACGAGGGAGTGAGAGAGCTTCACACTATGAAACAAATGTGAAACAAGCTAGGAGGGAGCTAGTGACATAGTGCTTGACTGTGAGTGTAAACAGCAACCTAACTAGGACTGGTTGTTCACTGTCCAGCAATCAGCGCATGATTGACTGCCTGATCAGTCCATGGTTGGAGCTATATATAGATTGAGTACTCCCTCCATCCCAAAAAAACTATATATATCCAGATTTAAATCTAGGATTGGGTTTTTTTGGACGGAGGGAGTATAAACCAACAGGGACTGTAGAGCTAGGCTTCACATCCAATCTAAGCAAGAAGCCAAAAGACAGCTCAAAGTTTTGAGGACTGACGGTACGAGTGCACCCATGTGAACCGTACTTCTTGCATCTGAGAACAATACTAAGTGCAGTTAGGTAGCTCTCTGGGTAGTAAATTTTGGATCATTAGGTACTCAAGTACGTATAGGTTCCAAACCATGTGCTCGCTTGCGGCCGGTTGATTAATTGTAGTGATGGTCGATCTGATCTCGTTTAGTTAGCAGGTGACCAATGGACAAACACAAAAAAACAAGAACTGGAGTGCAATAATTTTAAAATTGGGTAATGAAAAGTGTTTTACATTTTTGCCTCTTAGGCTCATAGTAGTTCACATACCAGCCTTGCATGTACACAATGGAAGGGAAAAGTAAGACAGAAAGAAACGCTGCCTTCCCTACAAAATAAGAACTATAGATAGAACCACCTAAAGTGGCATAAAAGTGTTTTTGTTATAAAATTAGCCCCAATTCAGCATAATTACAGCGTAGAAGAGTTAAGATGACCCTTGGCTAGCCGCCAACGGTAGCCATTCCCTCTCGCCTATACTAAGTCTCTATGTGGTTACCAATTATGCCTCTCGATTTAAGAGAGAGCCTGGGACAGAATCCGGCTCTAATTATAATCTACACCTATTACAACTCTAAGTCTTAAACTATAACCGACTACGTATACATCTTCGACACAGACTCTAACAATCTCCACCTTGGCGAATATACCACGTCAATATGAATTTGTTCATTACACAAATCTCTGTGTGCTCGGATTTGAGTTGATCGTTTTCACCGCTCACGCTGAGTCACCCCAACGAGCCTTCACCAGTCTCACCGTAATCAAGAGACTCCGTTATCCCTGTCACTTCTTCCTTTTTACTCCACCTGCAACAATGTTATACCTTATCTCATATCATCACACTCGTCTAGTCAAGCATAATCGGATTCCACCCTAGCCAGCACATTCCAAACTTCCCAAAGATTATGTTCACATTCATCTTCCATCCTAAATTTGATATAATCTACTCCATGGCCAGATAACCAATGTCATCACCAAGCAGACAAACCAAACTCATCAGATTATTGAAGATAACACTTCCTTCCTATCATCTTATGAACTGAGCTAACAAATCCAATATCCATGCTTCCCGCATCCATAGACTGAATCCATGATACTCTGAGAAAAATCAATATTGCCTTGAATCACCTGAAGAAATTATCACCATAACACTTGCTCTTCCTAGTGGCGCAAATTCCATATATCCCCATCATGCTTGTTTGAGGGTAAACCCCATTCCTACGGTACTGTTGTCTTGACTAATATAATTGAGGACTGAAACATTCCTAGGAAATGCCACTCTCATGTATCAAGGGTAATAATGTAATTTTCCATTGCGTATGAATAAAAAATACCCTCCATGGGCAAAGTAGGGGACCACACTTTCCCATTCTCATCCATTCCCACATACAGCTGCCATCTCAACTCTGATCCTCTCCTTCTCTCCATCGCCCATCACTATTAGCAAGGACTTTCCTATAGGGAGAAGGTCCGTTGCCAAAATGCATGTTGGATTTTGTTTCAATTGGTTTGAGTCGGTGTCAACTTCTTTTTTGTGGATTTTCTAGATTGCTTCCTATATGTGACTTCTAGATGGTTTCTAGTCATATGTGATACTATTGTGTGCTGATGTGAGTCAAGTTGGTGCGAATTTGTACTTGGATATAGAGCCACGAGAGTATAGCTAGTGTTGGATCGGGACTAGGCTTGGGGAAGTTGAGGTCCCGACAGTCAAGGAGATCATGAATGATGCTCAGGCTCGATAACAATACATGTGGAGGTGAAGGTTTTCATATGGCATACACGTGGGTTTTCTATGTGATTATAAGTCCTAGTTCTAGTCGAGTTCGTGGCAAAGGGCAACCATGTTTTGGGTATAAATAGAAGAGGGGTTGAGGCTAGAAGTAGATCAACTTTTTGGGAGAGAAAAGTTAGGTTTGCTTCGAGGCTTCGATTCAAATTCGTGAGTTAAGAGATGAGTGATTTGGATGTAATAAAGTTTATCTACTTTCAAGGGTTTCATCGAGGTGTGTTTTTCTGAATCTCAACGGACAGACCGACATATGATGACCGGTCTAACCGGCAATCCAACCGACAGCAAAACGGCGGTAAAATCGGCTGCGAGCAGGCGGTCAGACTGGCGGGTGTACAGCGGTCAGACCGGCAGCGATCTGGTGGTGTAACCAGTGTAACTTCATCGAATTTGAGCGTAACTTTTATTTTCACTAAAAGTTTTGGTTTTTGGTGATTCTACCATTCAACCCCCCCCCCTCCTTGGTAGGCTTGAATTCTTGTATCTGATCTACATTAACTTTCAGTTTGAATATTGCGTCCGTCGTACTTCCTGACTGAGTAATGTATTTCTTGCATATCTAGTGCTTTTTGTCAATTTTCATCCGTCGTCGAGCTTGTAGGGACCTTCGGAAATCAAACCTGCCAGACATCGGTTTATTTTAAGAGAAAAGCTATTTGTTGGGATCCCGTCTACCCATTTTGGATGGGATTCCCTCAATCCCGTGCGCTCCGCTCACTCAGCACACCCCCCATCAAAAAAAAAATCCCCATGTGGTATCGACAAGGAGGCTCGATGGAAAGCAAGCGGCATTAGCACTGGAGGTGGAGTCTTCATCATGGAAGCACCATAGTCGAGCATCCTCCCCATCCTCCCACTCCCCTTCCAAATTAAACAAATGCAACCAAATGCAATATATTCCCTCCGTTTCAAATTAGAACGGCTATATTTTTTTACACGGTCTTTAATGACATACATACTTTGACTATCCATTTATTCCATTTTATGTCTCCTATAAATATAAAATTAGCATAACATGAAACCACTTTAAAATATGAATATATTAACACAACGTGCATAATACATAGCATATATATGGTTGGTATGATTATTAGTCAAAAGTTACTGAGTTTGATTTTCTTTAAAAAAAACTATGCCCTATAATTATAATTTGGGATGGAGGAAGTAAAGTACATGGAAAATCCAAAAAAAGTAAAGAAATCCAAATACAGAAGGTTCTATGACCATTATTTCATTATATTAACTTTCAGGATTTTACATTCTTAGGTACGTTACATATATGCACAGAACAATAGTAGTAGAAAGAGAAACCGATCACCATCACCATCAGCCCATGTCTCACTTTTTGGTTTTTTTTTTTTGTTTGGTATATGTGTTCGACCATTAGCCACACGACAGTTGTAAACTCGCCACCGGAGCTAAGCTTCTTGGCATGGCACTCTCTGTTATATCGGTTGGCTGCATATATGAGAAACTTCAACCAAAAGCGAAGCAGCATATCCACTGGATCTAAATCATTCAATTCTTCTTCAGTATTCCACTTTAGCCATATGTCAGCGATCCTGCGTGCATATCCGAGACGAGGAACTGAAGGGTCGAATTCCTTGGGAACGTCAATCTTGAGTAGGATTTTGGCGAGTTCATTGGTCTGTTTGAGCCCAACAAACGTAGTGGTTGTGCGATTGTTGTTCCTCAATAGTAACTTCTTCACGAGCCTGAATACCAAGTTATCAACCTTAACGCCGGAAGAAATGAGTTGCCCACGGTTCTCTAAGTTCTGGGGAATGCCAGGAAGCATGTCAGGTTGAGTCACAAGGAGAAACATGAGGTAGTTGGAGATTGCCCTGATCGAGCGCACGCGTTCGGCGTCCTTTTTGTTCTCTGCATTGTCACCGCCGGACATGCTGCTTTCTCTCCCATAGAGGATCATATCTGTGGCGATGTGCCAGATGATAACGCTCTCGTGGAAGTCGACAGCTCGCAACTTCTTCAGCCTATTCTCTATATTAGGGTACTTTTCATATTGTTACAGAGTGTGTGTGCACATGGAACACTAGCCAACCATGCACGGGAACGTGATGTCACTCCCGGGCGAAGATTGGTGAGTGTGGCACTAGCTAACCCTGTTACCGTGTTTTTTTTTTTGTGCATTACCGAGTTTTTTTTTTTACACTAGGGAGCCTCTCCCTCTCCAGCAGTGTGATAGAGTCAATATAGTAGCGCATGACCGGCCGGATTAAACATATCTTAGTACTACAAATTTGACAGGTAGTATTAGAATATATCTAACTATTATATTTTGGAATGGAAGAAGTGAAAAGTGTAACCGACATGTAGTACAGTGCTGATAGGCTTCATCATATCCACTTTCAACAAGAAGCCAAAGAAACAGGAAAAAAAAGATTTAAGCACTGACAAAATCAGGCCACTTGCGTCCATCTGATTACAGTACTAGGTACAGTTTGGTAGGTTTAACTAGTAATTTTTGGGATCATGCGTTAGGTAGCTAGTCATGTACGGCTCCAAACCATGTGCCTTGCCGGTTGCATTGTACTAGTGATGATCCATCTAATCTAGTTTAGTTAGCTGGGGATCAGTGGATAAACAGAAAAACAAGGCTTGAAGCTTAGTAACTACTTTCTCCGTTTTCTCCGTTTCACAATGTATCATTCTATCATTTCCCACATTCATATTGTTGTTAATAAATCTAGATAGATATATATGTCTAGATTCACTAACATCAATATGAATATGGAAAATGCTAGAATGACTTACATTTGAAATAGAGGGAGTATAAAAAAAAGGTGTTTTGCTAACTGATCAGGCTTCTACTTTTTGGTTCACACAGTCATGAAAGGACAAAATGAAAGGAAAAGAAAAGGAGACGGGACAAATCAGTGCCTGCCCTACAAAATAAAATGACAAAAGATTTCTCTTCCGACCCAGGATAACTTCAACTTTTTTCGGATCGAGGTCGGTCGGTATCAGTGATGTGCCGGATACTAAACAGGACCAAGATCAAGGCTCAGTTCAAAGAGCTAGTAAAACGTTAGTAGTCTCTCCGTTTTAGGTTACAGGACTTTCTATCATTGCCCATATTCATATATATGTTAATGAATCTAGGCACACATATATATCTAGATTCATTAACATATATATGAATATAGACAATGCTAGAAAGTTTTATAATATGAAACAGAGGAAGTAGCCAACAAGGAGCTCATCTCACTGATGCCGGTGGCGAGCAATGCGGCCAAGATAACGACGAGATTCTCATGAGTCTATGACGATAGTCCCGGCGCGCCATGGAGGTTTCGAGGGGAGTGCTCCAAAACCCACGAGATGGTGGCCGATGTGACGCAGCCCAAGGAGCCCAGTACTGTGGAGTTGGCACTAGGGCCAAGCCTAGACAACTACAACTCCTGAAAAGCCACATCCAACACTGATGGGGGGGTGAATCAGAGCAAACTAGGGTTCCGAAGTGGCTGGTGGAAGGGAGATCCAAAAAGGAGTAGGGGCGGGGAGACGGAGTTGCCTCGACTGGGGATTGGTGGCGGAGAAGCTCGACGGAGGGGCACAATCCAGGGAGACATATGGAGATTTGCAAGAGTAGTGTGAGGGCGGAATCAGGAGATGACACATCAAGGCGATCGATGACAGGGACACTTCTAGCCAAGGCCGGCCTGATTCCAGAACCACAGCAAGGGGCGCGCCCATAGGCACCGCCGGCTCAAGGGCACTCAGCTTAGGAAGGTGACGAGTCACAGCAGGTCCCGGAAGAGGAGAGTTGGGAGGCCCAGCCATGGCGCCCAAGGGAGACGTGACGCAGCAGTATTGCCTAGTGCAACCGAAGGAGAAGGCACCACAAGCGGGAGAGGCGGCAGCTGCTACACCAACTCCACCTGAACAACCTCAGTCGGCAAATCCTCGTGCTTGTATGTAACGCCCCGACGACATTCGTTAGCCGTAAACACAAGCCAACTCATACCATATAGGCCATCTCCTTGCTAATAAAGCCCGATGTGAATCTCTCACAGATTTTTGCCGGATGAAAGTTGTAACTTTATATCTCACCTTGTGGGTGAGGATTTCTCAGCTGAGTAATATATTTCTTTCCCCGCAAAAAAAAAAACCATACCGGGGTGTTATGCGTTCCCTGTGAGGTAGTACCAGCCCTAGGTACACTAGCTGATACACACAAAATAAATATGGAATCAAAGTAAACTTCTTTATTACATCACTGGATAGTAGTCCTTACAAAAGTTGCTATCGTAGACATGCCCATAGATGAGCAACACAGCAGCACAGAAAACCATAAAATCGACAACGCGGAAAAACTAAGCGACTAAGAAACTAAACACTAGGCAAGCACCTAGGCGACTAACTTATTCCATGGGTGAGGCTTGGGGCTAGGCATGAAAAATTTAGAAGTCTTTATACTCGGCTTGCTCCTAGAGGCACTCCTCAGCGGTCGGATCGACGTCTTCATTTTCATACTCTACAGATTTATATAAGGCAAGGGTGAGTACTTAATGTACTCAGCAAGCCAAGGAAAAAAATGACATGTTCGGTTTAAACAAGTAGGCTATGGTTTTATTTGCGAAAGCAGTCTTTTCGGCAAATAAATTTACTTGAGTCAAAATTTTAGTTGTCGGGAGGAGGCTCACGCCTTGTCCCATTCCACAAGTTGATTTGCAACAACTTGTCACAATGATTATTAAACAGTAAATTAACTTGGTTTCTCTGTTAGTTTCTTTTCACTTTCACAATAACTAGATTAAATCAATCATAACAACACTATTTCTCATAGTTAACCTAGCTATCTCAACACAACAACACACCTAACTTTGCAATACCATTCATATAGACCCTAATGGTGGTTTTGCAAAGTATTAATCAAATGGTGTGTGTTTGCACTAGTTCGTTATTTTATTTCCTTAGGAAGCATTACATTCTTGCCTCCAAAATAGTCATAATGACCATTCCGCGGTTGACCACAGTAACCCAGTATTGTAACATTCTTGAGACCGGCCAATTCTTTTGACAGTTACTCTTCATGGTGATCAAATAATGTTCCTCAGGAAACTAACTTTAAAATGTAATCCTGAGTGAATCCGAGCGGCGAGTCCTAATTAAATGGGTTGTGTTTGGCCTGAAAAGAGAAAAAAAAGTAGGGCACAAACAAAAGGTGTGTTAGGTGACTCCAAGTGGGGAAGGTAAGTATGCGCTCCGCTTCGCCGCCCTGGGCATCGCCGCCAGCGGCGGCGCCCGCGCGGCCGCCTCCCACGCTTCTCCGACGACCTCAGCCTGCTACTCTTTCGACCGCGCCCTCTGCAACAGTTTCCTCTCCACTGCCGTCGCCGCAGGGTCAACTGAAGAACGCCCTCTGGCGTGACACCCCCCCCCCCACTGCCGCCCAGATCCGCGGCACGGATCTCGCCGGGGGGTGTCTCCCATGTCTCGGCGACGCCGGATCCGCAGGGATACTCCGCTCCGCTGAGTGCGCACTCCTTCCGCGACGTCGTAGCATCCGAGAAGACCTTGGATTTCAAATTTGAAAAGTGCCAACAACCCGTTCGCTGCGACTTGAAGATGGCCCATGCAGGAAGCCAGCAAATCACCTAGGTGCTCGCCTCCGCGACGCAACAGCTACTCCACGCCCTACCACGCTAGGCCGGAGAGGGAGATGGCGCGACGTCGCCACAGTACGGCCGCGGCAGAGGACTTCACTCCTCTTGAGCCTGGTTGGCAACAGGTGAGAGTGCGCCATTGGTGGCGTCGGGCAGTTCATTCAAGCCCCGCCCAACCACCATCTTCAAGGCGACGAGACGTTTCTTTAATCCAGCCTCCCAGCGAGCCCAGAGTGCCCTCCGGCGCCTTTCACCTCTTCCAGCAAGAAACTTACGGTCGATGCTTCATTTGCCTCTCTCGCGACCACCGCGCGGCACACTGCCGTGACCTGGTGCGGTGCTTCCTCTGCCACAAGTCAAGGCACAAAGCGCGTTTCTGTCCCCAACGCCATTCCTCGGCCCCGGCTAGCGAACGCGGCCCGGAGCGCCGCCGCCAGACTCGCCAGCCAGAGCAGACTCGCCGGCCAGAGCAACTTCCCCGTGCGACACGCCCACCTCCACTGCTCCCTTCCAGCCGCCGCTCGCCAAAACCAACACAGACACGCAGCACCACGCTTCCGCCTCCACCTCCTCGCTCAGTTTTCTCGCCGATGGCGCATCTCGGCGACCCCTCTACCCAGCCGGAGGAGGAGTGTTTCATCCCGACTCCGCACGCCACCGAGGTGGAACTCAAGGAATGGGAATCCACGGCGGTCATCACTTGGGTGGCCAGGGCACCTGCATCCACCACGCCGAAGGAGGCGGAAGCCATTTTCATGGAGGAGCTCCATCTGAGGGAGGGTGAGGTGGTCGTCTCTCGTCACCATCCTGAGGCGTTCATCATCAAGTTTGCACACCAGCGACATTGTGTCGAAGCCCTGAAGAGAGGCTCCGTCAAGCGCCGTGGCATCGAGCTTCACTTCGTCAAGTGGCGAGGCCTCAAAAGTGCTTTAGGCGTCGCCTTGATGTTCCGCGCCACGCCTGGGACGCGGACACCGTCGAGCGCGTTGTGGCACGCACCTGCGCTCTGGAGAGCATCGAGACAAGCCTCCTCCACCCGCCGGACACGCGCTGGATCAGTGTGTGGGCGTGGACGGGAAACCTGAGCTCCATCCCCAAGCGAGTTTGGCTCATCTTCACCAGCAGCACGAGGAGCAAGAAGCTCGACACCGTGACGGTCTCCGAGCGGCCGCCGAAGCGCTGGCAACACGGGGTGAAATATTGTGTGTATGTGCACCTAGAAGAAATCCACGACTACACCTCGGCGACGGTAGCGCTTGACGATTCCGCGGCCATCACCCCGGCAAAGCGCCGCCTTCCGCCGTGGCACCTCGGAGTGGCGGATGGCGAGCCAGTCCCGGAGCGAGTGTTCACTGAGTTCCCCCACCATCCACCGCCGCCACGCGTGGAGGAGGATCGTGGGAGCCGTATCAGGGGTGACCGCCACGACGTCGACCGCCATGATGTGGACCGCCACGTTGCAGATCGTCGTGATGCGGATCACCGAGGCCACGGCAAGGAAGCGCGGGACAGGCGTGACCGCGGCAATGAAGGGCGTGGCGACCGACACTGACAGTACAACGACGACCACCCCGAGTTCGAGCGCGGCCACGGCTGGCGTTGTCGCGACGACGGCGACGGCGACGGCGATGATGACGACCGCGACGGAAGGTCAGGCCATGGTCGTGAAACATGGCGAGGCCGTGACGCCGCCAAGCCGTCGGGTCTCAACGGCCAGAGGGAGAGAGACCGCTCGCCAAGGCGCTGTGACTGGGGCGAAGGCTCTAGCTATGGTGGACGACGCCGTGCCGATGCGCCGCGCCCAGTCAGTGCGTGCCCACTGCTGACTCTGCTTCCGCTGACACCGTCGCCAACCTCACAGGTAGCAAATCTCCAATTCATGTTCGCCTTACGTACCCTAAATGCGCAGGACGCAGCAAAGAACATCACCGACATGCATAAGCACCAGCCACCATCAGGCAAACATGCCCTTGTGGCCCCGACGGCGGACTTCAACGGCTTCCTGGCAAAGGCGCACAACTTGGATGCTGCGCTGCAGATCGACTGGCCAGCTCTGCAGGTCGGCAGTCCGGCTCCACTCACCGCTGCTGTGCGGGAGCATGGCAAGGGGAACGAAGCCTAGTCCATGGCTGCAGTGGGGCACTGCGGCAGACCGGAGGAGATGAGGAGACAGCACGTCGACATCCCTATCCGCTGCGCTTTCGACTGCATCAACCACGCCATGCAGGTCAGGGCTCCGGCAAGCAACATCGATGACCTCGAGCAAGCTCTCGCGAGGATGGAGATAGCGGCAGCGGCGGCCACGCCAGAGTCCTGCCGGGGGATGTCGCCGCCGCCCTCCCCGCTGCGATCCAGGCAACTGGCCCATGGGCCGGTGACCAACCACGGCCTGGGACAAGCAGATGGAATAGAGGCCGGACACGGGCCACCTCTAATCGGGCCGGCCAAGGTAGTTGGGGAGCAGGCCGGCCAGCTACCAGTTGGGCCCCCAGGCGTGGGTTCGCCAGGCCTCACTGGGCAGCCTTCACCGACTGGGCTTGCTAGCAGAGGCGAGGTGGACGAGGCCATCTTCAAGACGCTGGCCCACGAAGCAACGGAGAAGGTTGCTGCTGCTCCCTCGCCAGGAACGCACAACCGAACACAACCAGCACTGACGCAAGCAACCGGTGGGTCATCGCCGACGGCGGATCACACGTCGCCGCACTCAGACAGGTTGGGCAACCTCTTCAAGGCTGTTACACCGCCGTTTCTTGACCGACCATCGTCTACGCCGCCGGCCAAAAGCCGCCCGGTTCTCACGAAGCGCTGTCGCATTGCTCGTCTTGCCGAATACAGCTCTACTAACCCTCGTCGCAGCTCTAGGATTGCAGGAAAACCAAAGATGACGCCGATGCAGAAGTGCCACCGGGTGTTGATGAAGCGCCTCGGTCTCCTCCGCACCCACGCCTCACTTGATGAAGTTCTCGCTGAGTACGTGACGATGTTCAACGGCCCACTGCCGCCGCACATTATCACGGCGCTCACATCCATCTTCGACCTCGACTACGACGACGACGGCAATGGTGACCAGCCACCAGAGGAAGCCCTGCTCAAGGTGGTGGGAGAAGGTATCGCCGAACTCGCCGATGAAGTCGACGAAGTGGCGGCTTAGCCTTTTGGCTGAAGCATGGAGCAAGCTGTGCTTGCATGTATCGTCGTCTCCTCTATATCATGTTGTCTACTCTACTGCACTACTATGCCTCTCTTTTGTTGCACCATGTGCTGCCCTCGACGCAGCGAGACCTTCTGCCATGCGTTGAGCTTGATTATCGAACTTCTGGGAATGTCTATCGGTTTGTAAGACCTCTAAGCGGTATTATGTTTTGTGCTTGCTTCGAGATGATCTTCTCTTCGTACTACTGCATCTGCGTGATGACACCATCTGCATGGATGCCTTCAACGCCCCTCCACACAGCACGGTCATCACCATGCCGAGGCCGTCCTGCACTCGCACTCGCATGCACCGTCAAAGACAAAGAGCCCCTCCATCTCACATGGTAATGCAAAATATCGAACTTCTTAGTTGGAACGTCCGCGGTTTGAACTCTCCTGCCAAGTGCAGCGCGGTCCATGACTTCATGGCAGAAACAAATTGTACTATTGCATGCTTCCAAGAAACAAAATTGTGGGCAATGGATGACGGGCTTGCAAGATTTTTAAGTGGTTACAAGTTGGATAGCCACGCCATTAAACCAGCAAGAGGATAAAGAATCTACCATTGCTGAACACTTCCGGCATGTGATGGGGTGGCTAGAGCCAAGATCCTGCGACCTCAATTGGCCTGTTCTCGGATACACCCCGATCGATCTCTCCGAGCTAGACGATCCCTTCACAGAAGCAGAGATCCGCAAAGCGATAAAAGAAATGCCAGTCGACAAGGCACCAAGCCCAGATGGTTTTACATGGAAGTTCTTTAAATCGTGTTGGGACATCATCAAAAATGATGTAGTGGCCGCCTTCAACGCCTTACACGATTCAAGAAACACGCACTTCAACCTCCTAAATTCTGCCAACGTGGTGCTAATCCCCAAAAAAGAAGGGGCAGAGGGAATCGAAGACTATAGACCGATAAGTTTGGTCCACGGCTTCAGGAATATCTTCTCCAAAGTGCTAGCAATCCGACTACGGCCGCTAATGCAATCGCTGATCCCAACAAATCAGAGCGCCTTCATCCGTGGGAGAAGTATACATGACAACTTCATTTATGTAAGGAACATGGTCAGGAAATATCATAGGACCAGACGACCAATTCTTCTCTTCAAGCTAGACATTTCCAAAGCTTTTGACTCCGTCAGGTGGGAAAGCGGTACGTTTCTGCACATCCTTGTATGCTGATGACACAGCTGTCTTCATAAACCCGAACAAAGAAGATGTGCAAGCCTTCACTGATCTTCTTGGTCGCTTTGGGCACGCAACTGGCTTATGCACGAACCTCCAAAAATCACATGTGGCCCCAATCGGGTGTAATAACTTGGACCTCGATGACATCCTAATGGACACGCCAGCAACCAGAGCAAACTTGCCTATGAAATATCTGGGCCTACCCTTGACCACAAGCCGTCTACGGAAGACAGACCTCCAACCGCTATATGACAAGTCGATGAGTCGCATTGCTGGTTGGCGAGGAAGACACATCGGTCTAGCGGGATGCTCTACCCTGGTAAAGGCGGTGCTTACCTCACAACCCGTCTTCCTACTCACGGGACTCAAAGCTTCCAAGGAGTCCCTCGAGGTCTTAGATAGACAAAGAAGAAAATTCCTTTGGGCGGGAGGAGAGGCTTTGACAGGGGGGAAATGTAAAATCAATTGGACGCGAACCTGCCTCCCCACTGCTTCCGAAGGCCTGGGCATCCTAAATCTTGAGAAATTCGCAAGAGCCTTACGACTGCGTTGGCTTTGGCACGAGTGGAAATCACCCGGAAAAGCTTGGGTGGGCTCTGGCACGCCATGTGATGATACTGATAGGCTCCTCTTTATGGCCGCCACAACCATAACGATTGGAAATGGTGCCAAAATAAGCTTCTGGGAATTAGCCTGGACGTAGGGGAGGAGATTGAAGGATGTTGCGCCGCTTGTCTACGTAGCCTCCAAAAAAAAGAACAGAACGCTTCAACAGGCTTCGCAAGCGAACCAATGGCTTCTTGACTTGGACCTGCCAGGGACTACGGGCTAGACGACAGACCTGATTGATCAACTTGTCAGGGTTTGGAGCGTCGTTCAGGCTATACACCTGGTAGAGCACGAGGAGGACAATATAACATGGAAGCTTACTAACCACGGCGAGTACACGGCAGCATCGGCATATAACGCGCAACTTCTTGGAACCACCGCTACCAACTTCAACAGGCTAATCTGGAAAGCCTGGGCGCCGCGCAAGTGCAAGACCTTCGCCTGGTTAATCATCCAAAACAGAGTCTGGACCTCTGACAAGCTGGCGACAAGAGGTTGGCCAAACGGTTCCATCTGCCCATTATGTCGTCGGACCCAGGAAACAGCCCTGCACCTCCTCGCAGAATGTAGATACACAAGGAGAGTCTGGGCGGCACTAGCGGAGTGGGCGACGTGCGAGCAACTAAATCCTAGCCAATGGCGGGAAACTTCAACGGTGCTAGATTGGTGGGAGGCTACCGCAAACATACAAGAGACACCTAAGAAGTCACTCCGCACTTTGATGTTGTTGGTCGCCTGGGAGATATGAAACGAAAGGAATCGCAGAACCTTCCAATAAAAGGAGCTTACAGCTACCTCCCTTTTAACCAAGATCAAGGAAGAGGCCAAAACTTGGGCCTTAGCAGGAGCGAGAAGTCTTAATAGCTGGCTTTCTTTTAGTTAGCTCGGACCAAAGGTCCTAGCTCCTTTCTTTTTTTCCTTTCGCTTTGTAAAGTTCTCCTTCTCTATTCAATGAAATTGGCGCTCGTCGATTCGTTAAAAAAAAGTAGGGCACAAACAATAGAAGAAAAATAATATATGTAGTGAAATAGTTCAAGAAAGTCCCCAATCAGCTAGCCGCCACTAGCATTTATACCAGCATACAGTGAATCTTTGGCACCTCCATCGGTCCCACACAATCGGTCCAAAAATAATACAAGGTATTACCGAAAAGGAAAAAAACTGATAAAGTAAAAAATCTATATATAAACTTCCTCACCGCCGCACACGCAAATTGAAAACCAGAATATTGTATGTATTCCATTAAAATTTTAGTAGTACTTATTACTAACATCATATACAAGATTAGTTTACTCTCTACCACAAATTGATTTAAAACATCAAAAAAAAAACTATCTTCATCACCTCCTTTTTCTATCCCTCCCTATCCTTCAATGCACGGTTAGTATATACTTAGTTGCACGCCCTTCAATGCAGGGTTAGTATATACTACTCGCCAACCCGTGCGTTGCACGGGTTATTAGTATTGATAAGAAATATTAAATTCTAATTAAATGTGTGGGTTACCATTCAAATTATAAATACTCATATTAAAAGAAAAAGAGTGCACTTTAGCTACAACTTCTTAACTATTAATTCTGAATTTTATAATAAACTAACGAAACACTAAAATTCTAAGATTGAGGATGTAAAATAACTATGACATCATGTTTATTAATTATAAATTTCAGAGTTATTAAATTATAGTTCATGTGATTTCCAATTGCATGAGTTATTTAATAATGTGATTCATCAAATTAACGTGCATTGAGCGGGCTATTATTATTCTTATTATAAATATAAAATTTAGTAATAAGTGAAACATGTTAGTTATTTTTCAAATTATACCCATCTCGTGTAAAAGAAGAGTCCGCGTTAGTTACAACTTGATAATTATTAATTTCAAATTAAACAAATAAATGCTAATTTGAGAAGGAAAAAAGGGATTAGGAATGTATTATATTCGTGAACACAATCATGTATTGATTGAAAAAAAATATATTAGTAGAAAGTATGGGGGCAAGTTTAGCTATATAGGTATTACTTATTAGGGGGAAAATTGCAACAAAATTACTTATTTCAAGTCAGAACCGGGAAATTATAAAATAGGTCATATGGAACATTGAAAGTTCGACAGAATACTTGTGTAAATTGCACATGTGACCACAGTGGATAGATCTTCTTATATGCAAGCGGGCTATTTGAGTGATTTGAGTAATAGATCTGTATATTCTCTCTGCTTCAAAATTGTTATTGACAGCCTAATTTGTTACTGAACTATGGGACTTGTTTTGCTTTTCATTAAATTGATTATCTTACGCACAGAACATATTATTCAATATATGCAAAAGCTCAGCAACATATTTCATTATTGCAATCAAAATCAGAAATCTCAAAAATATATTAAATGTGTCACATTTGATATGCAAGTTTGGCACAATACATCAAAAATCAGAAATCTATAATTTCAATAGAATACCTTGTGAAATAGCAACGTTGATTCCAAAGAAAGGATTTTGTGCAGTACCAGTTGCAGCGTGCGATGTACATGAAAAATCCATTGATGATTAATATGCAGATAAAAAAAGTTAAAACATGTTTCCCATAAAAAAGAATTAAAATATACTCCCTCTGTTTCATATTATAAGTCGCTTTGACTTTTTTTCTAATGAAACTTGTTAGGTTTGACTAAGTTTATAGAAAAATCTAGCAACATATACCACACCAAATTAGTTTTATTAAATATATTTTAATTGTATATATGTTTGTTTTGTGTTGAAAATGTTACAATATTTTTCTATAAATTTAGTCATCAAACTTGTAATATAAAGTGGAGGGGGTACTTACGAAAAAAGAGACGCATCATCAGCTCATTGCTTGGAATCCATAGTCGTCACTCCTCCTCGCTCCTTACTGTCAGCAGAGTTGACATCCAACAATGTAACAACAACATTGTTTGATTGATCTGCACCTGCAGCAGTGATGCGAATGCGCTCCGATGTTTTTAGATTCTGCAGGTAAGGTTTCATCAGATATTTAAACTACAATGCAATTATTTCCAATCTGAGTACCTTATATTGGACTAATTTGCACCTTGTTCTGTAGGCTGCAGCAGAGTATGGCTAGATTAGATTGATTTGAAGAAAATTACAAAAGCAAAAGATGAGGATGGGAGCTACCAACTGGTAACAGCAGTGCTTCGACCCTCATCTGTACACGGTTACCGTGATGGTAGACATACCAAGATTGGATTGCCAAATCAAAGTAATTGCGGGCTTGTGTTTGACCCGTGATGTTTTATTTCACAGAACAGCACGTACAATATGCATGCTTAGATGCACAAATTAAGGATGAAGACTAAAGCAGCAAACATGGAATTGATCTTGCATATACCTTGCTGTTGCTGGCCGCTGCTAGCTCGCATGTCCTATCCATGCTTTCTGATCGCTCCATCTGTCAGGTATTATTCAAATAAGAGATCAATATTGACGGAGAAAAGAAATACCATCTGAGATGGAGAGGTTTGAAGGCTCGTCTCTTACTCGTTCTGCTCACGATTAGCCGGCCGATTAGGATCATGGTCGATCGACTGCGGCGTTTGTCGTCGCCAACGAAGTCCCATCTCCTTTCATTCGTGAAGTCACGATCTCCATCTGTTCTCTACGATAACTGCCTGTTGTTATCCCAATCGCTTCCTCCCGATCGATGGGTTTCAGAAGATTCATGTGGATTACGGCATGACTCAAGAAGATCATGGGCTTCCAATGGCCCATGTCGTTGATCAATAAATCAAGGAAAAAGTATACTTTACTCCCTCAACTATGGTCCGAGTATGATTCATGGCCTCCAACCACAAAACCGGGTATATTGACTCCTTCGACTATCAAAACCCATGCAAACTATATCCCTGGGTGGTTTTAGTAGCGGTTTTGGCTGACGTGGTATTCACGTGGTGGTGTTGACCTGGTCTTCGTCCCGTGTATCGTCGACGTGTCGCTTATGTGGCATTAGAGTAAAAAAAATTGTGGGACCGACATATCATTCACACAAAAAGAAAATAGTGGGACCCATGGATATGTGGGCCCCACATGTCATCCTCACCTCTCCACCCTCTCTCTCTCTCATCTTTTCCACTCCTCTCACCTTCCAACCCTAGAGGCGGGGCGGCAGCGACGGTGACGGCACACGGGGGAGGAGCTCGCCGGCCGTCCTCAAGCGGGGGAGGAGCCAGCCGGCCGTCCCGCAAGCTCGCCGGCTGTCCGTGCGCAAGGGGAGGAACACGCGGGCGTCCGTGTGCGGGGGAGGAGCTCGTCGACCGTCCGCCTGCCGTCCGCGCGCCGGGGCAGAAAATCGCCGGCGTCCGCGCGCAGGGGTGGAACTCGCCGGCCGTCCGCGCGCCTGGAGAGGAGCTCGCCGATGGTGGCGGTGGGAACGAGTTGGTGGGGAGCAGCAACGGTCGGAAGCGACGGCGGTGGCTATGGGGAGTGGCGGAGCCGGTCGGGAGTGGCAGCGGCCGTGGCGGTGGGGAGCGGCGCGGCGCCGTTGAGACAGTTTGCTGCCTCATGTCCCGGGAGCTGGAGCTCCTGCTGTTTTTGCTGGCCCTACGGGTGAGCGGTGACTCGGTGAGGTCGTCGCAGGTTCGGCGACGGCAGCGGCGTGGCCCGGGCTGCAGGTGGGGTTCTACCATGCCAAGTGCCCTGTCGCGGAGGACGTCGTGCTGGGCGAGATGAGGATGATCCTCGAGGAGGATCCCACGCTCGCGCCGTCTCTGCACCGGATGCATTACCACGACTGCTTTGTCCAGGTAATTAACAATTTTAATTGCCCAGGCTCAAGCTACTTCCTGCTCGTCCATGGCTATCGATCATCTGAGTGTTGGTTGCAGGGGTGTGACGTATCGATTATGCTGAGGTCGAGGAGCGGAAAGGGGGAGAGGGACGCGACGCCCAACCGGAGCATGCGAGGCTACGACGCCATCAATCAGATCAAGGAGAGGCTGGAGAGCATCTGCCCGCTCACCGCCGCTCCCCACCGCCGTCGTCCCGACCGCCGCCGCTCCTCCGACCAAAAGAAAGGCCGGGGGGAGAGAGATAAGGGAGAGAGAGGAGAGGAAGAAGGGAAGGAGAGGGAGGATGACATGTGGGTCCCACTTGTCAGTGGATCCTACAATACTCTTTTTTTTATGTGAATGGCATATGGGTTTCACATATTTTTTAATTCTAATGCCACGTAAGCGCCACGTAGGATAAAGACTTGGTCAACACCGCCACGTGGGCGCCACGTCAGCTAAAACCACCTCCAAAACCATTAAGGGTATTGTTTGCACCGGTTTTAATACTTGGAGTCGATATACCTGGTTTTATGGTTGGAGGTCATAAATCATACTCGGGGGATAGTTGAGGGAGTCAAAGTATACTTTTTCCTTAAATCAATAGATGTCATTAAAGATCAATGGTCAAGATGAAATAATTTTCTAAATAAACTGTCAGATTTTTCTGGTTAACGTGAGAGATTCCTTAAAGTATCCAATTAGTATAGGTATAGATAGATAGATAGATCGCAGGGGCATGCATATTATTGAGTTAAGCTGCGTCAATGAAAGGCCATCGTAGGCAATTGAGCTAAAGTGATGTACTTACAAATGTAGTTCTTTGTGAGTTTGTTGATAGTGAACTAAGTGTTAAATTTGTGCTATAAGCTGGTCTTTAGGGGCACAACTACGTCGATGTGGGACCCATATTTTAAGATATTACATAAGAAAGCCCTAGCAGCTATAGTCGACTTCAACCTTAGAGAGGCATTCATGCCTAATTTTAACGGAGTTAGGGTATCTACAATGCAAGACACCCACTGTGTCCTCACTAACTGAAGACACTCATATGGATACTCGTCTCACAATGAAAGCCACAACTAGATGGGTTCCTCAAAATCTGTGGGTATCTCTACTGAAAAGTCACCCCATTAAATTTCCTAATCTACCCTCGGCAACTCCTCCCTTTCTCTCGTCGCTCCTCTCTCTCCCCCTCTCTCATGCGTCCGATACTCCGATCCAATCCGCCGCGCCTCCCTCCTTAGCCTCTCTCTACCGCCGCTGCCGCGCCTCCCTCTTCGCCCTCCCAGCAACCACCGCCGCCTCCCTCCTCTCCCTCCCCAGCCGCCGCCGCTTTCTCCCACCACCGACGCCCTCCTCTCTCTCCCTCCGCACGGCGGGACATGGTGGCCGTGGCGAGCGGCCCGCGAGGCGCGGTGGCGGACGGCGAGCGGAGTGAGGAGGACGCGGCAGATAGTGTGCCACCTCCTACTCCGGCCCAGCGAGCGGTCAACGGCGAGCGGCGCGCGGATCCGTCCGTCGCCGCTGCGGATCCGTCATCGCCGAGCATGGATCCGTCGTCGCCGCGCGTGGATTTGTCATCGCTGCCGGCATCGTCTCTGGGTCGTCGCCAGCATTGTCTCCGCCGCTCGTCTCCCTCTTCCTCTCACCGCCACCACTGGCCTCTCGCTCCCTCTCTCTCTCCCGTCGCTGGCGGCCGTGAGGGCGATGAGTGATAGGGGCGAGGGGTGGAAGGGGAAATTTTTCGGTGGAAAAGGTGTCCACAAGCGACGCTCGCGCCCAACGCGTCCCCTCGGCTTCGTTCCCTGCCAAAAGCGAGCGAGGCACGCGTCCCCCAGCTGAGGGACGCGTTCCATTGTGAGGGGCCGACACGGACGGAAAGGCTAATGGACGGCGTTAGGGGCACGGGTTGAAGCTACGCATTGGTGATGGCCTTATAGTATTATCCAGTAGAAGTGGTATTTCTAGACTATTTATATATAGATGTGAAAATAAGTGATGAACACCGAGTTATGCAATGTAAATAAATTTCTAGTGTATTATCATTTTTAGTGGAACTAATGCAGTTTCGTTTATTAAAAATGCACCTAGCTTTCTTTTTTTTTGAAACAGTAGACAGTAGGAGTTTTACCGGATATATTAGAAGAAGAGAGTTGACCCTGTTTATAAAGGAAACCGGACTGGAAAACCATACAACTGCACGGTTTGCTAAAGGGAAATCGGCAAAACCTTACACAGAAGACACAAACAGCCCGTGACAAAACTACGAACCACTGAAGTAACCGAGAGAGGAGTAAGACCTTCTAGGCGAAGCCTCCAAGGAGGTGAACAACCCATAACTAGACTGGGATTTCACCCAAAGAGGGAGAGAGTCCATAAGGCAACACCTCAAAGGAGTAAACGACACCCGCAGACGTCGATGTTGCCGATCCTAGAAGACTAGGCAGGGCTTTCGCCCAAGACTCCCTCAAAATGTGTAGGACCTTCAAGAAGTCAGAGCAAAAGTGTTAAGTGTTATCGTTGCCCAGCTCATCGGCTAACCCTATGCACCTAGCTTACAAAACAATAACAATAAGTAAATAAATAGTGATGATAATAGGCGAGTTTATATATGACCAGGATAAAGGGATTTTTATTTCAATATGAGAGACATTCTTATCACGTTTAGTATTATATTAAAATCCACCATCTACATTCCCTTGCTGTGTATAGCGTTTTCTTTTAGCATTCTTTTTCTTGAACAACAAATAAGATATCGGTGCATCTATGCGAGCTTTCTTTCTGGGTTATATTCCGGAAATGTACTCCGGTTTATATTCCGTCCTTATAGTATTTAAAACATAACCTACGTTATTTGCCCGTGCGAATGTGCGGGCTACCTTCCTACTTAATATAATGGATACAAGGTAGAGTCTCTCTACCTTTTGCAGAAAAAAAACTACAAAACTATGAAACTACAGATCAGCACAAAATAAGAGGGAAAAATAAAATGAATAACATGAGATATCGAGTAAAAAGAAAAGCATATGCTACTCTGCATATACATCGTTGCATGATTCATACTCTAGATCCAAGATCCTGCGATGGTAGCCTACCACAAGTCCACAAGGCCTCAAAATATCTGTATAATAAACCAAATCATCAAAGAGAAAAAAAGGCCCATGCATATGAAAACTTTGCAGATTCACCGTTGCTACTTGCTACAATACAGATCCACGATACTGGATGCTCCGTTGTCACATGAAACAAAAAGAAGAGAAAGATCCAGCTCCTGCAATGCTAGCGTACCAAGTCCGCTGATTCAAATCCAGAAATCAAATCACAAAAATAAAGGGGGCACACCCATGTAAACTACACAGATTAATCTTTGCTAGTATACATATAGTATACACCGTAGATTCACGGTAGTTGCAACACATGAAAATGTAAAAAAAGAAACACAGTAGTATACATCGAGGTGATTCAAAACCCTAGAACAAACCAAAAAGAACAAATAAAATAGACAAAATATCTCGCCATGGATAAACCGGCGACGAAGACAGCGAAAGAAATCAGGCGACAGGAATCAAGGGAGATGGAGGGTTGCAGCGGCGGCGGAGGGGCGGAGATGAGATGAAGGAGAGGTGTGGATCTGGCGGCTGGGATTCCAGTGCTGATGGCGCACATGACAAAGACCTCAAGCCGAGCAGCGGCGGACGAATCTAGCGACGGCGCCCTCGAGCTGCATCTCGGATAGCGTCCACGTGAATAAGCTTGAGCTCGATTCACTCAAGGTCTGGAAGCTATTGGAAGGAAGCAGTGCAATTTACGATGACTCTTTACCTTGATTTTCATGAGTCTTTCTTTTCTCCAGCATCGTATACGTGTCTAATTGTGATTTTATATTTTAATTAATTATATATTGTAAATCTTTCTCAACTCTTTCTTAAATCTCTTGTTTTCCTTCCCTGTTGCAATTGGCATTTTTTTTTCTAAAGTACGTACAAAATAAGAAAAATTCACGCCATCGCACGCAACGAAGACAGACCGTCAGCCTTCACTCACTCACACTATCACCGCGACACCAGCTTTCTCCTCCGCAGGCAGCCAGCTGAGCATCATCCCTCCCTCCCCCACACCATGCAGCGCAGCGTCATGGCCTATTGGGCACCGGATCTGCCCGAGGACGGAGGTCGCCGGCGCCACATCCCACGGCGACACGCGACAGATGGAGGCGCCGAGGCAGTGAGCTCCGGGGAGATGGGAGCGGTGGCCGAGGGCCGCGGCGGAGGCGGAGGCGGAGGCGGAGGGTGGGGGTGAGACGAAGGAGAGGCGGATCTGGCGGCTGGGATTCCTGGGCCGACGACGCACATGATGGGGACCACTAGCCGAGCGGCGGTGGACGAATCTGGCGACAGCGCCCTCGACCTGCATCTCGGCTGGTGTCCGAGCGAGATTGAGCTCGATTCACTCAAGGTGAGGAAGCTATTGGAGGAAGAGAAGTGCAACTTATGTGATCTCTTTACCTACATGAGATTCTTCGTTCTAGGTACATGCATGCCTCATGCTCAATTTATCAATTATGATTCAGGGATGTTCAGTTGACAACAAAATCCTGTATGTTTCTACATTTTCCTTATTATCAGAACGCGGGAGAGACAAATTGTCATCGCCAGCCCATGAAGCCTGACAATGTTTTCTGGAATATGACCAATCCCCTCCAAACAAATACAATACTTAGGACTTGTTCGGTTTAGAGGAGATTGAAGAGAATTGGAGGGGATTGAGTAAATCCCCTCCAATCCTTCCCTCACAGGGATTAACCAAACAGGTGGAAGCGGATTGATAGAGGGATATTGGGTGTGGGGAGGAGCCTCAACCAAATCCACATAGGGTTTGTTTATAGTACACGGCGAATAAAGCATGAAGGCATGAAGTAGCTGCTCCCACTTGACTATTTCACTTCAGGCCGGTATGCATTTTGGCCTATTTTTATTGGCTTGTCTTGAACAAATATTCATACTGCTACAACAAGCCTACAAAAATACTACAAACTTCCTGACTAGATTTTACCTACCTAACTTTGGATGGAAGCCTATTAGCACCCTTGAACTTTAATGCTAGATCCCCCGAGATTTGCAATACCGTTCATACAACCCTGTAAGGTGGAGTTTGTTAAACTGTGGTTAACCCAGTGATTTCAAGTCGCCTAGTCGGGACTAGTCATAAGGGCACCGACTAGTCGACTAATCGTGATTAGTCGTGACTAGTTGTAGATTAGTCAGTGACTATGGGCTAGGGGTACCCAGGATAATGTATAGATATTTATAAGTATTACTTACCATAGTATACTAGTATAGTATAGTACAAACTAAGGATAATCAGACTTACATAGTTGACAGTTCACACTTGACTTAAGGTCTTAAAGTTAAATCATTTACCTGTCCTTGTTGCAATAAGTCCTTCATCTTTTCTCCCCTCTCTCCCGTGACTAGATCTAGACTGCTGGTTCGGGTTAGATGAGGGGTACAGGCCTTCCTGGGCTGGGCTGGGCTGGGCTAAAGGCCTGCCACTGAAGTGTAAAGCCCAACACATATTTTTAGCCCTAACAGACTAGTCATCCACGACTAATCGTGACTAGTTGTGACTAGTCGGACGATAAGTTTTCTATCGAACTAATCGCTTCGAGGTTCCTGATTGAGATCAGGGTAGCGATAAGGACAACTAGTTACGATTAGTCGCGACTAATCAGACAACTTGAAAACACTGGGTTAACCCCAAGTTGTGTGGGTTTGCACTAGTTGGCTATTTTATTTCCTTTGGAAGCATTATATTCTTGCACTCCGTAATAGTCTTAATCACCATTCTGTGGTTGACCACAGTTTCCCGGTGTTCTTACAGACATTCTATAAACCGGCCAATTCTTTTGACAGTTACTCTTGATGGTGACCAAATGTTTCTCAATGAAACTATCTAGAAAATGGAATCCTGAGTGGAACCAAGCGGCTAATTGTGAAGCTATTGAATCAGTCTGCAGTTCTTTTTCTTTAGAGGAATGAATCTGTTTGTAGTACCACCTACCACCAATTTTATAATAGCAAGCAAGCTTAGCTAGTTGCCAGATAAACTAAAGTAGTAAACACTGGTCAATCAGTTAAGTTTACAAGCATACAAGCTCACAGTTTTTTTTTATCAAACTCTAGTCATCTTGCTTTGAGCCTATGAGATGATTGATCGCTCTCCTAGGTAACAAATTTGTTGATCGATCAGCTGGGCTGCCGGTATGTGTGCCCTCAGCCGTTAACTCTCACTTAATATGTCAAACGGTGAATGTGTGGTACACCATGAAACCTCATTTCAGTGCATAAGAAGTTAACAATATTGTCATGGCTGCAGGCTGGCTGAACCAGACGTCCCTGTTTGTCAACGATTGGGCGATCCGCATCGTGGTGCTCTGCAGCTTCGCCGCCCACCTCGTCCTCACGCTGTTTGCCGGAATCCGTCGGCGTAAAGCCACCGGCGTGCGGGCACTTGTCCTATGGCTGGCGTACCAGCTTGGCGGCTGGGCTGGGACGTATGCTCTCGGCAGCATGTCGCTCGGCCGCACAACGCAGCAGCAGCAACAGCAGCTGGCATTCTGGGCACCGTTCCTGCTCCTGCATCTTGCTGGCCCCGACAACATCACCGCCTACTCCCTTGAGGACACGGTTCTCGCCGGGAGACAGGTGCTCACCGTCACAGTACAGATCTTGGGAGCATCATATGTCCTGTACAAGCAGATATACAACCGTGACGGCGGCGGTAGCGCCTTGCTGTGGGTCTCTGTCGTCATGTTCGCCATCGGCATTGCCAAGTACGTGGAGAGGGCCGTGGCGATTAGGCAGGCCAACCTGGGAAAGATGAGAAGCTCAAACAAGAAGTGCAAGTTAGGAAAACGAAGCTTCGGAGATGTTAAAGAGGTGGGTAACGAGAGAACCTTGCTGGTTGCTCATGGCCTGCTCCATATCACCAAGGGTGCCTTCATCGATCATTCAGACGACGAGAATCCCCTGAAAAGTGATGCGGCACGATCACAAATATTTGGTCATGGATGGGAGGAGATGTGCAGGGTGGTGGAGATGGAGCTGTCCCTCATGTACGACATCCTCTACACCAAGGTAGCTGTGGTGCACACATGGTTCGGCTACATCATCCGTTTGGCGTCGCCGGTCGTCAGTGCCACCGCGTTCCTGCTGTTCTGGTTCCAAGGTAAAGATGAGCAGAGGAGGGCAGATGTGCTCATCACCTACATCTTGATGGTCGGCACCATCATCCTGGATGTCAGATGGCTTCTCAGGGCGATGGTGTCTACATGGACCTATTCGTTCCTGAACAATAGGCCAGATTGCTGGTTTCATGCCGCATGCTTGAGCTCCGGGAGGTGGCGCCTGCTCCGTCGTCTTGTCCTCTGTCTGGATCCATGCCGGCTGCTCGGCAAGGAACCAACTAGGTACAGGATGTGGTCAGGAACCGTTGGGCAGTACAACTTATTGCATGAGTGCACTCATGGCACGATCGGCATGTTTGGCTCGCTGCTGAAGAAGGTTGTATCAGATGACAGTTGGATGGAGTACCAATACCATGACGCAAGGGGTCTTGCAATTTCATCGGAGGTAAGGGAATTGTTGTTCCAACAGATATGGGAGCAACTCAAGACAGCATATCCAGCTGCGACTGTTGAGAAGACTAATTTACTCTCTTGCAGCAGTCTGGGATATGCCGGGAGTGCATGGAAGAACCGGGAGCTTGATGAAGCTATGAACTTTGCTCATGCATTCCAAGAGACAATCCTTATCTGGCACATCGCCACGGACATCTTCCTCTTGGTCAGTCGTCAATTTGCATCACCGTCCAACTCCAAGCAAGTACAGGTGATCATGGCGCTGTCGAATTACATGGCGTTCCTCGTAGCGGTCCGCCCAAGCATGCTACCAGGCCTTAAGCTACGCAGCCTGTACAAAGAAACTCACAAGGCTCTTGTGGAAATATTGCTCAAAGAAGGATATTCTGGTAGCTTGATAGAGAGAAAGGAGAAGCTGGCCGACAGGCTAATAGAAATGGAGAAGGAGAAGCAGGTCCAAATCTCAAACGCTCCAAAGAAGGTAAGCAACTGGAGGCCAGGTTATAGTAATCACAAGTCAAGGCCAGCAAAGGCAAGTGTTCTTTATGACGAGAATATAATTCTGTCTGATGGAGCTAAATTCGCCGAGGTGCTGCTAAGTAGAGCTTGGGTAGACAGCCCACATATAACCGCACATATCGAAATTAGCCCTGAGAGATATGAAAGGATTAAAAGATGATTCCTCATATTGTGAGAACAGGTTGCGTTTGATATCTCGGTAATGCTGGACTATATCTTCAAGGCATGGGTTCGTATTCTGATGTATGCGTCCGTCCGATGCACAAGGGATTCTCATGCCAAGCAGCTCGCCTGTGGAGGCGAGCTCACAACAATTGTCTGGATACTCAACGAACACGCTGGCATATTTCGCATCCCCGGTGATGCCAGAGATGAAACTGGCGAGCTTGGAACCTAATGCCTAGTAACACAGCCTATCGTTAACCCGTGTGTTACACGGCCTATTGTTTGTTATTTGTATTATGAAGACTATAAATTAAAAATGTTTAAATAGATCGGTTACTAAAATTTGCTGAATATATACTAAATATGTTTTAAAGTTATGAGGATAAACATAACTTTATTTATAGTTTCCAGAATCAAAAATAGTATTTACCGATTTATATAGAATTCGTTCAAATATTTCTCTTGGTATATTCTATTTCTTAATTTAAAAGTTTTAAAATTGGAATTAATAAGTACCGATTTGTATTGATATTGGGGTTTCAATTTAGTATTTAATTTATAAATTGTGAATAAATAAGTACCTAGTTACACTTGATTTGATTTTCAACTATATATGTTTCTTAGGATTTAATGATTCTAAAACTTTAGTCAATATATCGAAGTCTTAATTATATCTTTTTTATATATTAATCATAATTACAAATATGTAGCTGTGCTTGATTTGGAGTTACATATGTTACAGGATGCAAATTATTTATTTCAAATTCTAAATCATAATTAATAAGTTTTAAATTGAGAGTCACTTAACCTATTAAATTTCAATCACAGAATATATAATTTTAAGAAAGTAATAAAGAGTATGTCGTACAGCAATCAGTACTCTCTCTATACATAAACGTTCGTTCTAGTCCACTCAAAAAATTACTAGTTGTTGCGAAATAACATGTATCCTAGTGGTTATAAGAGCAATTGCGTGCCTAAGCCAAATCCACCGGGCAGCACACAGAGAGGCAAACGTCCAACTTGACCCTAGTGCGCGCAACAGTGAGGTCACCTCTAGGAGGAAAGCACCGAGTAGCAAAACATATGTAATAGAAACATCAACTATGTTTTGACCACCTCTACCATTGAATTGGAAGATGAGTAATGAACCGGCCGTGGCAAGAGGCGAGACGAGTCGGATGCAATATCCAATCCAGTTATGTATCACACTCACCTTGGTGTACAACATATCGTACATGAGGGAGAGAGGGAGAGCTCAATTTCCGTCACTGCATACTTCTGTTCGTCCGTAAGGCCACGAAGTATTGCGGCGTCACTGGCACGGGTATCCCTAGTATTGTCATATGAAGAATCATCGACAACCGCATACTTGCAAATGTGGAACAGGGCGTGAGCATTACAGATCAGGAATTCCTCTTCATTAGCCTCCCTCCTAAAGTGCCCTTCATTACTGAAGCTCATCTGGTGGGGCTTATACTCAATGTGGGAATGGCACTTGGTATGCGGCTCCTTCTTGAGTGTACTCCGGATGGTGTCGATGTTGCCGGACATGAGTGCCCATGTCCTTTCCCCATACTTGACAACACCTACAACAAACATCAAAATGGTGGCGAGTAGGAGTGGGCTTCCACTGCCCCTGAATTGTTTGTAGAGGACATATGCAGCTCCCAAGACCTGCACAACGACAGTGAGAAGGTGTCGGAGCCAGAGCTTACTGTCCTCGAGGGAATATGCGGTGATGTTGTCCGGGCCACCAAGGTGCAACAGAAGGAATGGTGCCCAGAATGCCACCAGCTGGTGCTCACGCGGTGTGCCACCGAGGGAGAGGTGGCAGATGGCGTAGATCGCAGTGGAGTCAGCCAGCTGGTATGCCAACCACAGGAGAAGCCTCAGCACAGCTGGAGCTTCTCGGCGACGAATCCCGGCAAGCTGGAGTAGGATGATCTGCAGAGTGAAGCTCAAGAGCACCAGGATCTGGGTCGCCCACTCGTTCCAAAGATCCATTGGCCCACGTGCCATTGCTGCTGATGGGTCAGGGAAATCCTGCAATTGCTGTACTTGAAGATTAAGGTATATACATGTATATATGTATGCATTCCACGTTATTAACAACAAGAAGAAACTTACATGAGCTAGCTAGACGATCGATCACGCATAATTGGCTATGAAGCTTGGGAACAAGGAGAGCGAGAGCTGGTGGCAGTCAAAGCCAAACACTGATAGCACACACTCTCGAGTCGGCGAACGCAGTGCATCCTTACTTGTTGTGGGAGCTATGGATTAGTAGGTAGCTAATTTGCTAAGAACCAAGGAGTACAAGGTTTATATCCACTTTCAACAAGAAGCCAAACAAAAAGCTAAAAGTTTTGAGAACTGACGAGTGACGAATCGCGCATGTGACCGTACCTTTTTTTGCATCCGAGAGTATTGTCAGTAGTAAATTTTGGGATCAGGCGATTCGGTAGTTAAGTACGGTTCCAAACCATGTGCTTCCTTTCCTTGCCGGATGATTGTAGTGATAAGTGATAAGCTGTCTGCTTTTTGCGTCAGCGCCACGTTCTCCTTGCTGTTGCGCTTCCACCGTTGTCTCGTAGATTAAGGGGAAATCTAAGGGCTCTACCCTTTTTGAGCCAGAGATTGATTAGTTCATACCCCTCTGTTTTAAAATATAGCAACCTATAACCAGATGGGACGTATCCTAATAAAGCTCAAGAGCAGCATGATCTGGGTCGCCAACTCATTCCAAAGAACCGGCTGGGACATCTCCATGTCCAAATTCATACATAATACTAGGATATGTCTCATCCGGTTCTAGGTTGCTATATTCTGGGACAGAGGGAGTACGACTTTTGGATCATCTTTTTTCCTCGAGTAAATAATAAACTATCGCTAGCTACATATTATACACACTAGCTTTATACATACCGTAAACGGACTACCTATACATTTATCGACAATTTTTTCCTCAAAAATTTGACAGATGTAATTATAGTACAATCGTAGTGTAATTACATTGTAACTTATATGTAATTACACTGTAACTTATATGTAACTACACTGTAACTAAGTTTCACATAATTTTGAATCGTTAGATCTATTACAAGATTTGTTTTGGTGAGGAAGAAAACAAATCCTAGCACACATATATGTGAAAGAATTTGTTCCCATGACCTCCATTTTACCGAAATAACATGTTAAGGAGAGATTTTTCAAAGTTACATACAAGTTACACTATAGTTACAGTGTAATTAGATGCAAGTTACAGTGTAATTACACTACGATTGTACTGTAATTACATCTGTCAAATTTTTGAGAAAAAATTTGTCGACAAATATATAGCAAAATTGTACCGTAAATTATGGATACAAACGAAAATTGCGAGAGAAACTCAATGTCTGTTGTGATTAAATCCTCTCATATGATATAGTGACAACCAAATTAATTGTACATTAAAGATTGGATTTTTTTTCTCTCTGTAAAAGTTCCATAATTTTATATTTTCTCCACACTTTTAAAGAACTTAGCTTGGCTTGGTAGTGCAAAATATCAACAATTGTTTGAAGCTAAGTTCTTTGTCTTTCTCTTTTCATGGTTTCTTTGAAACAATTAATATTTGTTTGAAATAAGACCATAATTATATAAATTAATTATTACGTGCAGTGCACCTAGAATGAAATGTTTTATACTCAAGTTTATTCTATAAAATTAAATCGTGTTTGATTATTATTTTGTGATAAACAATTGGCATGTGAGATAACTGGGTTTTGATATTCAAAGACAATTGGCGAAGTGGGTTGTTGACTATGTGACCAGTCAGACCACCTAGCTCGACGGTCTGACTGTGTGAATACTTGAACTCTACTGTAATGCCCCGAATTTCGAATTACTATATTTCAGGGAATATTAGCACAAACGTGCAAAAGTTCAATTTTTAAACTGTTATTCGAATAGGCGATCAGGAACCATGGATGCGTAGAGCTTGCAGAGTAGTGCATAATAGACTATAAGTTTATAGTAATCGGAGTCCGATCACAGTCCCGGGGATTAAAACAATGTGGGCCGTTAGATATTTTCAGTCTCTTTATATAACCAACCAAAAGAAAAAAAAGAAAAAAAAAAGGGGAACGCTCCTGCAGCCAACCCTAGCCGCCACCACGCCTTCCGTCATGCGCCCTTGCCGCTGCCGCTGTCGACCCGGTTGCTGCCGCCGTCTTTGCGCCGCTGCCACGGCTATAGCCGGAGGCCGCAGCCGTCGTCATCCATCGCAACCGGTGTTTCCTTTCCGTTTTCCTTTTTCCCGGTGAGTTCCTGCTGCTGCACCTTCTTCTATCGTTGCTGATCTGTGTTGCTGCGGCGTGTGCTGCTGCGGCTGCTGCCGAGCTGCTGTTGCTGTTGCTTGTCCCTTGCTGCTGCTGCTAACCTTTTTCCTTGCTGCTGCTGTTGCTCCTAACGTGGCCCTGCTGCTGTTGCTGCTGCATGATCAGAGAAAAGGGTACCGAGAGGGTGTACATGAGGAACAAGGAAAAGAAAAGCAGAGCAACGTTGAGGAATTTCAGCAATTTCGCAAATTAGGGAAATTTGTCGCAAGGTAGTGCTCCTCCCCTGCAAAGGCAATTTCTCTTTAGTCCCTAGAAGTATAAGATTCAAATATAGGCTGAAACCGTATTTTCAAAGCTGGTATTAAACCATCAGGATTCAGGTTAGTTTTCCTAAATAAAGTTTGTAGTCATCGTCGATATATTTCTAACGGCGCAGGTTTCACTCAATTTTGATAAACAGTTTGGGAGAAACAACAAAAAAACAGTACTGCTGACCGGGTCCGGAAATCAGGACAGCGATTCGTTTTCCTTAATCTGGGATTTTCAGAGGCATAATCTGATTTTGTGCTCAACATGAAAGTTGTAGATAATTTTGTCTAGATGTCCAAAGTTATATTATTTGCTAGATTCCGTTAGACGGTTTGCGAGTTACGCATAAAATAGTAAGGGAACTCCTATAGGTTATTTAATACAAATCGGTAAAAAAAGTCTATATGTTCTAGGTTATCGGTTTTAGTAAATATCCCTTGTAACTGTCATTAGTTGAGTATATATGTTCTAGGTTATCGGTTTTAGTAAATATCCCTTGTAACTGTCATTAGTTGAGTATAGTGGTTTATGCGTAGTTTTGCTCCACAGGTGTGGAGGATTCCAATGTTGGAGGAGTTGAGTCAGATTATCGAAGGAGTTAAGGCAAGTACAAGATGGACTTGTGTGATGGATAAACTGTGTTACTTTGTTGGTTTCATTTACCCAAATATTATTCGAAGCTTCCTATTATCAATTGTGTGGTTTTGGTATTATGCTACCTATTCATATTTCACTTCATGTTCAAGTTCACGACGTTATTCATGTTTCATTCTTCCGGAAGTTTTTGTTTACATTATTCAAGTACCATGCGTAGTCATCGGAGTGCAATTTGAAATTTTTTTGTTTACTTATTCAAGTACCATGAGTAGTTATGGGAGTGCAATTTGGATCTTTATTCATTATCCTTGAGAAGTGCTGATCACGCTTACTCGGCTTACCGTAATACTAAGAGGATATTCACACCTGCCCGGGAGGGAACTACTACTTTTTGCCTCCTTCGTTTTAAATTAAAGGAAGTCAAATGTTTCATATTGGTTTTCTTATTGCATTAAACCTGTGTATGTTTTACTAGTTCAATATTGTATTTGCTGAGTATTCTTTACTCACTCTTGTGTTTAATTTGGTTTTTAGGTACCTAATGATATTGATCGGCATGGGACGGGAGTAGCACCCTTAAACTACACATTATTATTGCACATTATTGAAATTTAGTTTTAGACTATGTTTCTGCTTAGCATAAGTTTTGTATAGAACTTGTAACGGTCATTTAAAGTTCTGGTCCTTATTTTCATGTGGAATTTATGGAGATAGGATGGTTAGCAATATGTTGGTTAATTCGTTATTGATCTATCTTATAACTACCTGTCGTGGATGTCCGTATTTTTAGGAGAGACTACCAAAATTTCTAATAATTTCGGGAGTTAGTGGTTTTTAGTGCTTTTTTTTGTGTGGCACTCTAGGTACGTGGTTACCTGGGGCGTTACATCTACACCTCTTGAATATATCATTTTAATCTTGAATGGTCTAACCATCTCAACCTCATGTCATTACTTATACTTATGTGCCCCATATTACTTTCATCTAGTTATTTAGCATAGACTAAAATAACTGTTAGTGCCTCTATATAGATTGAAATGTCTCAAGAAAATACCTTTACATATCATGCAAATTTTAAAGTGCCGAAAAACTAACTCTACAAGATAAATTTAACAAATTGCGTTAATAGTGTCTCTAATATTTCTCTATATTGAAAGTGTTTTAGGTAATATTTAAAGTGCCTCTAAAAAGTGTCTTTGCACTTTAGAACTTCTGATTTTTAAGGCATTTTAAAAGTTGCCTCTACATGAGGTTTTTGTTGTAGTGGAGCACACAACAGTATTATATACGCATAGTATCCAGATACTATGCGCATATAATAGTGTTGTGTGCTAATGTTGAGTCAAGTTGTAAGAACTTGTGCTCGGATATGGTTTCTTAGTTAATTTATGTGTAGGTGAGTCTTGATGCCTCGGGATAGTGTTGCCGGTGATGGATTGGGAGTCAAGTTGGGAAAAGATGACATCTGGACGATTAGACTATCATGCGAGATGCTTAGAGTAAAGATCAATTCAAGTGTCTAATGAAGATTCCATATGGCTGTTGATGCGAAAAACACACACTGGCCTGGGAGATCTACTTAACTCCATTGCAGGTCTAAAATCTTGCTTTTAGGTTCGAAATAAAGACAAGAAATAAAGATGATTTGATAGCCGATCAGCTAGGAGCCGATGACATATCGTCTATCATTAAGCTGATGTTATTGGCATTAGATCGGCAGTGAAGAATAAAGTAATATAAAACTAAATCTACTCGATCGGCTGTAGATATCAACGAGATATAATCATTTTCTCGATGTATATTTAAACTAAGTGATTGGGATAGATCGAACAGCAAGTCGAGTCAGTATAAATCACTTAAGTCTAAAGATACATTAAGATAATGATTATGCGAACGTTTATAGAATAGCCGATCAATCAAATTTAGCATGTATCGGCTAATACTCTGATACCACTCTATATTAAGATATTAAAACAGGCAGGATATATTAAACAAAAAGCCTAATATACTTTAATGTAATAAGATCTTAATATAAAGGGCGGATTTAGCGTAACAAGCAAGCATATAAGATAAAAATAGCTAAATCAGGTAAGATTGGCTGAAACTCCGACACTATCTCTATTGATGATCATAAAACAAGCTAGATATTACATCTATAGATATTACTTAATAGATCGAACTCAACCGATGCGGCATTAAGCATACAAATAAATATAAGATCTAGACAAGGTAATGAAAACCTCTAGGATATGGTAAATACTCTATATAATCTAGATTAATAACAAGATCTAACTCTATCGGCTACTCTCCAATGATAGATACCAGCCGATCACAGGCTAGATTACAAAACTAATAAAGATTATGAAGCATATATGATAACTCGACAATTTACATAAACAAGATTAGAGTGTCATAATGATGGAAGCACTAATCCCGAGAACGCAAGACATCATGACAAGTTTACCTCTTGTTGAAGATCGAAACCGATGCAGCTCAACTCGAAAGCAAGAACTCGTCGAAACAATGAAGTACAAAGGGTGGCGATGCGCCGAAAGTGTTATTGAACTATTGTTCTTAAATTACATGGGGTCGGGTTATATTTATACCCGAGATACATAACTGGTCCTTACCGGACACGACTCTTATCTCTAACAAACTATAAGATACACATAAGTTTTTACGACAGACTCTTGCCAAAACATATCTCCAAAGAAACTATTTAAAATATCCTAATTAATAGATACAATTGCCTATCTGAAAGCTTATCTCCATCGTGGCAATCCTTGTGTAGCACATTGATCGATCCCAAAGACGATTCCACAACCATCTCAACGAAATCGATTGTATCGGCTATATCGGCTATCTCCTTGTACTCCATCTCAGCCGATGCCTTTGCAGCCGATGCGCACTCTGTTCTTCGAGTACAATTCTTTACCGAATCCACTTTGATTCCAATGCCAAACCTGGTTCATAATTTACCAAATTTGGTCGTTAACAATGGCATATGATGGAGATATTGTGTGCGCATGGGATGCAGAGTCGAATTTCGAAGGAGTCTGTTAACGACCAAATTTGGTAAGTCATGAACCAGGTTCAACATCGGAATCGATGTGGATTTTGCAAGGAATCATATTCCAAGAACAAAGTGTGCATTGGCTACGAGGGTATCAGCTGAAGACTGCATCGGCTGAGATGGATCGGACAGAAGATAGCCGATATAGCTGATGTAGCCGATTTCGTTGAGATGGTTGTAAAACCGTCTCTAGGATCGATCGATGTGCTACCCAAGGACTGCCACGATGGAGATAAGCTCGCGGATAGGCAATTGTATCAATTAATTAGGATATTTTAAATAGTTTCTTTAGAGATATGTTACGGCAACAGTCTGCTGTAAAGACTTGTTCATATCTTAGAGTTTGTTAGAGATAAGAGTCATGTCCGGTAAGGACCAGTCATGTATCTCGGGTATAAATATAACCAGACCCCATGTAATTTACAACAACAGTTCAATAACAGTTTTGGTGTATCGCTACCCTTTTTCTACTTTTATTGTTTCGACGAGTTCTTGCTTTCGGGTTGAGCTGCATCGATTTTGATCTTCAACAAGAGGTAAACTTGTCATGGCGGCTTGCGTTCTCGGGATTAGTGCTTCCATCTTTATGACACTCTTGTTTATGTAAATCTTTGAGTTATCATATATGCTTTATAATCTTTATTAGTTTCATGATCTAACCTTCAATCGGTTAATATCTATCACCAGAGAGTAGCCGATAGAGTTAGATCTCATTGTTAATCTAGATTGTATAGCATATCTACCATCTTTTAGAGGCATTCATCAACTGCGAGAAGTTGTGGTTCCTTTTGGTGGAGAGACATTTTTCAGTATGATGTTTTGTTCAGAGGAATTGCTAAGCCCGTTCTGGGATCGGGAACTGATGTACTCTTTTGGGATGACCAATGGGAGAGTGGAGTGTTCTCCAAATATCCAAGGCTATTCTCGTATGTTAAGCACAAGGACGATTCGGTGGCCCAGTATCTAGCAAGAGAACCACAAGATCAATTTCACCTGCCGCTCTCTCAACAAGCTTACCAAGAGTATAATCTGATGTTAAGTGAAATTCAGTCGGTTACACTTTCGGATATCAATGACTCTTGGCAGTTCATTTGGGGTTCAGGAATCTATACCTCTAAGAGATTTTACAAGCTCTCGTTCTGGTCTATAACTCCCCCTGTGACCTTTAAATGGATCTGGCAAAACAAAGTTAACATGAAAATTAAGGTCTTTGGTTGGTTGCTTCTCATGGACAGAATGAACACTAGTGACTTGTTGGATAGAAAACATTGTGCTCCCTTGGGCGCGTCGATTTCTTGCTCCTCGTGTCAGGAGAACGCTAGAGAAACCAGAGAGCATTTGTTTTTTGACTGCAACTTTAGTAAAGGGTGTTGGAACAAGTTGGGATGGTACTGGAACTCTTCTTTGGAATTTAATCAAATGATACATACCCAGCGCTCCTCTTTCTCCCAACAATGTTTCATGGAACTGTTTCGTCTGGCGTCTTGGAACATCTGGAAGGAGAGAAATGGTCTGATCTTTCAAGGCATTCAACCCTCTGTGACTAATTGGCTGGCCAATCTCAAATTGGATCTGAACCTACATTTAATTAGGTTCAGGGAAAATGATCGACCCATAGTGCAATCATGGATTGATCAATTGTAATCTTCTGCTTTTGCTTTCTTTTTTCTCTTGTCCCTCCCTTTTATTCTCTCTTTGTAAATAATTTTGGTTATTAATTAAAATCATACCATGGGGGCCTCCCTCACTGTTTTTGGGTCAAAAAAAATGCTGCATCGGTTGAGTTCGATCTATTGAGTAATATTCATAACTGCAATATCTAGCTTGTCTTATGATCGCCAATAGAGATAGTATCGGAGTTTCAGCCGATCTTACCTGATTTAGCTATTTTATACTTTGTATGTTTACTTGATACGCTAAATCCGCCCTTTATATTAA